TTTAAATTATGATGTACTCGTTTGATACATTCAGTATATTGCATGCCTTCAAATTTTTTAAAAGCTGAATTTTGACCATTCACAAGGGGAATTACGAGAGATGCAGTTAAGTATTCTTCCCCAGAAATCTTTTTGGTAACACTCTCGAATGGTTTAAGCACTTGTGTTAGTTGCTTAATAATTACCCACTCCTCGACTGTCAAATGATTTTTCAAATCCATATTAATTATTGACACAGTAGCTTTAACAGCTTCCTCCAAAATAATTAATCTTTCCAACATGTAGTACGTAGAATTCCACCGATACGTCTTGCAGTAGTTTTAGAGGGGTTTGCTTTCCTTGATTCTGTTGGTATGATATTAATTTTGCCGTTGCTATGTGACTCCGTTTGAAATGCCCTACAATATGTTTCACTCGTCCGATAACTGCGCTGATCTGATCTTCCTTCAATCCATCAATTACCACCAAATCGTATGCACAAAGCAACCGTACTGTTTCCACCGTAATTCATTTATGGCAGCTTTTATATTTGCCGCATTGTCTGAAACTACTATCAAAAGCTTATTTTGGATTTCCCATTCTGTAACAACTCTTCTTAGCTCTTCTGCTATATTAGTTGCTGTGTGTTGAACAGCCAAAGTAAAACATTCTAGTAAAAGTGAAACCATCTGGAAATTATCATTTAGGAAATGAGCGGTCACAGCCATAAAACCCTCCGTATTAATGGATGTCCAACAATCAGTTGTAATACAAACTTTTTTTGCCTTTTTTAAAACACGGTGCGTCTCGATAAGATCCTTCTCATACATAGCTGGTAACATGGTTCTGAAGATGGTATGTCTACTTGGAAGCTGATATGAAGGATTCAAAGCAAAAACAAAGTCTCTAAAAGCACGTTCTTCGACAATTATAAATGGTTGGTAGGTGTCGGTGAACAATCGGAGTAATCTATCATCAATTTTCTTTACATTTAGGAGTTACTCTCTTTGGAATATAAAGATCCATATCTGTTTGAAACTGTTTAGTTTTCCGCACTGTTTCGATTTTTCTTAAACTTACAGAATTCAGTGGCATTTTATCAATAGTAATCTCTTCTATCTCCATTTCTCTTGAATCTCCCACTTGCTTGATTGGTTGTCCTGAACTTGTTGATGCCCCTGACTGGATACTTGTCACAGGTGGGGCTTGCCGTGATAAAGTGACCTACAATCATATTAAATTACACTATTTGTGTCTTCATTACAAAGATTTATATGTATAAGATGGATATAATATTATGTTTAAATTTTTGCTACATATAGTAGGAGAGCTCGTAGACATTTTGGCAACGTATTTGAGGCACTATGAAAACTTTCTAATGCATCTTACGTAAAAAAGTAATAGGAACCATTTTTGTTTAGAACTAACATATGGTCAACACTTTACGAGATAATTCCCCATTACCTGGAGTACAAGTTAAATATTCTCGATCACCTGGCAGGTTAGACGTCCCACCAGAATGAACTTATTTTAAATATATTATTTCATAAATATTAGTTTATGAAAATCTCAAAATGCCTCAAATATGTTTTTTCGATTTTTTTTTTCGAAAAATACCTTTTATAACCCATGGGACGCCAATGGCCCACTGTTCTGTACTTTTGTATTCGGAAATAATAAAAGAAGCACAAGCAGTAGACAAGCTTTCATAGTGCCTGAAATACGTTACCAAAATGTCTACCAGTTCTTGGACTAATACGTTAAAATACTTGCCGAGGCACCTTCGGGATTTAATGACACAGCTGGGTGCTTTGACTCCATGTGTCTTCTCAAATTCGTGGTACTAGTCTTATATGATATTTTGTCTGCACACATATTACATTTTGCGAAATTTTCGTCGATTTCAGAAAAAAATTCCACAAATAACTTATTTTCCTCTTTTTAAACATTGTTGAAACTGAATAAAATAATACTGTCTAGTCAGACAAAAAAACAACCTAGAGATTGAAAATAGAAACCACCAATACCAATCCTAACAATTCGCATTCGCAGCTCGCAACAGTCACAACTCACAATCAAATAAAGGCAACGCCATCCGCTCGTTTTTAACCGCCAATCGCCACTCGCATGTGTCACTCCCGATTGCGATTGCCGGATTGGCGCGATTGTACGGTTGCTTGTATGCCTACCGGCTCACGCGAACGCGAACCCACCAGATCGCAACTCGCAGTTTGCTACGGAACGGGCTTGCAGGTTGCGATTGCGATTGTATAATCGCTGCGAGTAAATCGCAGTTCGCGAGTTTTTGCTCATCTCTAATACATTTTTCTACAAACAAATCAGTATTAACATCATTATGGTCCAGATGTTTTCATTCCCCAACTTTTGTTGGCACCTGCATAAATAAACAAAATTGGGAAAAAATTGAATTGTGTTGATATGTTACTACGATTCACAGATTTCTTTTTATTAGAACAGCATATATATATATATATATATATATATAACAAATGTCCACACCCACAGGAATTTTTCTCAGGGGTGCTGATGATCATCAAGAGATAACTTTTTGTGAAATTGTTCCTGTTCCCCAAAATGTTTTGATGAGCAGAGGTAGCAATTTTCTCAGGGAGCGACAAATTTTTAAAAATTCTCAAAGTTGTACACAAAAGCATGCTCAATATGTAAATTTTAAGGTCAAAACGAATACCCTGTGGCACCCATGTTATTCTTCAATAACATGTGGCTTTGATTTAATTAGAATTATAGTGAGCTTTACATATCAACCATACTGCTTTGAAAATAGCTAATTTAAAATGAAGTATGGAAACTAACTTGGACAAACAACAGCACAAATCATCACTGGTTATTGAGTCATATCAAACCTTACAAATGTTATGGTCTGCAAATACCCTTCAGAGCTGTGCCTTTTGGTTAGATCAATAGAACTTCTGATAATTATCAGGACCTTACTGGTTGACTACGGCAGCTGTTGAACTTTTCGTAGCGCTCCACTGTTCAAAAAGTGATGTGGAGATACAAACAGGTACAATCTTCAAATATTACATTCCTCAAAAGACTAACCGCTGCATTCTCATCTTCCTCGGGATCTGCCAGAAGCCTGGCTTGGCTACTGACTTGGATCACCTTAAGAAAGAAACAGTTTTGATTTGGAGTTTTTCTTATAGTATTTACAAACATATTACAGCTTTGATTACTTACATTTTTTACTTCACAACTTTGAACAAAAGGCATATGGCTCAAATAACATAATAGGTAATAGGGTCTTTATTGAATTAAAATTAAATGTTACGAAAATGGAATGTTGTAAAAAGTAAGGTTATTTTTGCAAATCTTAGGCCCGTATCGTCAATCGTCCCATACAATTGTAGGGCGCCTTCATGGCCTCCTTGATTGTCATAGTTTTCTACTTCTCCGTGTCAGCGCTCTATTTTGAGGTTATGTCACAAACATCTATTTGCATCAAATTGTGCTTGCTTTTGAGTTATATCATGTTTTATCAGCCTGAAATTTCCTACCATTCAAAAAGAAAACATATCTTCACAATAGGAGAGCGCTGAGGCTGACACGGGACAAGTGTAATCTAGACATTTTTGAAGGAGAGAAAGAAGTATGACAATCAAGGAGGCCATAAACGCGGCCTACAATTGTAGGGACGACTGACGATACGGGCCTTAGGAAGAAACCGGCCGGCAATTTAAATATTGTGCATCAGCAACGCTGCTTTGCTTCCCATTCGCCCATATGAGTTTCACTCGCTCCCACATGATGTGGCGAATGCCTTACAACGTTGGGCACATGGTCATTCGCCACATCGTGTGGGAGAGCCCTGACAGATTGCATGTGTAAAACGTTCGCCACATGGCATGTTCGGGCTCTTGTCGGTAAATTTGACCCGCGTCAAAGGACGCTACAACGTTGGTAGCATGGTTTGTTACGCTCCGACACGAGATGTCATATGTTTGATGGTTTTAGGTTAGAACCAGTAGCGGCGAAAAAATTTAGTAATTTGTTTGCTGTGATTCTGGTGAAGTAGTGGTATTTGGGGGAAGTATTTTGATTTGAATACCTACCTATTCATAATCATGTTCCGTAACTAACTTATGAGTATAATGAATTCAATTAGTATACATACAAAGCATAGGCTGCCATAAAACTTTTTTCATATTGCTAATATTTTGTATGTTTCGCAGGTGAGTTATGGCTGGCCTAAGGATATGTATTTTAGTGAATTATAAATTATCAAGTGCTCACAGTTGTTTCATTATAATGTCCTACTGCAATGCTAGACTAGTTGAGAAATATGTTAATTTGCATTTAATATCTAACAAAAAAGATTAAATAAATGATAGCTCTGAAAGTATACTATCAGGATTTTGATGAAATTTTGACCCTAGGTTACTACTATGAAAATGACGAAAAAGCTCTGCAGTTTTTGAAAATCAGTACAGTGGCGGCGAAGTTATCCTCGAAAAACAAATAAAAAATGGCCAAACTTTTTCAACATTTCTAAGGCTTCTGACAGACTTAAATTTTGGCCGCTGAAGACAGATCTGAAATTATTTTTCGGTGCTCGAAAAAATTGTTTCATCGTTCATTCTGTATAATTATTCCTTCAGTTGTAAAGTGTCAAGCGCGACACTGACACCAGTAATAGATGTTGGCACCACCATGCGTTGAACGTCCGAGACTAAAAAGCTCATCCCATCATGTAGGAGACACACTTGCCAATTGTGGTGTGTCGAATGTTGTAGACAACGTTGTATACAACGCTTACAACGATGGAAGCATCGTGTGGGACCCGCATTAGGGTATTTTCTTTGGGGACCTACACTTTTCCTATTTTGACGTTTAACATACTATTAAGACTAATGACAGTTTGTCAAGATGAATATGGGGCGTGGTTTAGGGGTACGTGGTCATCTGCCTACCTTATTGATTAGTCGGTTCCATAGTCAGTCGTGCAAGTCACCACCATTATCTTTTTTTGTCCTTTCCAGGGCCGCATTTTCATATTGGTGTATCCCAGGAAAATTTTACAAACCGAAAAATACCGTTTTCACTCAAAGTTCGAATGAATGGAAGTTCACAAGCAGTACAACTATTCTTGCTAATGCCTACAAGTGGTTCAGTTAAATAGTAAAAGATATTTGACTGTGGTAGTTTTAAATTTACCAGTTATTTAGGAAATACCTAGGTTCTCTTTTAAAAATGCGAGGAAATACGGTATACCATTCAGCAAACCATCAGCGAAGAAGCACCATTGTGCTTGGCGGTGAGCTCGACCGACGTCCAAGCTCCATGTGTGTTCGCAGTTTGGTAATGGGTCGGCCATTTTGATTTATAAATCACGATGTCTTCCTCATCTTTAACGTACAGTGTGATACAATTTAGTAGGGACGATAGTATTGCTACATATAGTAGGTAACACTCCCCAGGAAGCAAAGTGTTTTGGCCTCCTGTGGAAAAGCAAAGCGAATTTGATAAAATTGCTACAAAAAATGTCAGAAACATCGGAGGACTGGAACGTGTTTAAGTTCAAACGGTATTGTTTAGTTCTTTATTAACTACTTCGATACACTTCGTACAAATGCTCCTGAAAAATTGCGAAGGTGATAACGACATCTCGGAACAAGACGGTTCAAGAGTGGTAAGTAAGTAGAATATGAGTTTCGTCGCTTTTCTAACACTCCTGAACTCACTGCTCGTGGATCATCGTTGTCACATCCGCAATTTTTCAGAAGCATTTTGAAACACCGCGTGATTATTTTTGCGAGCAACTGTACGTCATATTGTCTTCAGACAGACGTCATATCGACTTTGTATTTGGTCTTTTATACGTCATAATATGACCTCATATAATGACGTCAATTGGGTATGACCTTAGACCGTCATAATAACGTTATTTCTACGACATTTTTGTTGGTCGACTAACGTCAGTAGAACCGTAAAAATGCCGACATTATGACGTCACTATGTTCACTGGAATATGCGTTCAACATCGTATGAAAGTTGCAATACAACCTCTCCACGAATGGTCAATAAGGTCGATATTTAGAGCTCGTGTCGTTTTTCTTAGACTATGTTTCCATTACTTAAGGAAGGGGTTAGTGGAAGAGTTGCCACCATTATCGAATATTGATATCCACTGTGCTACTAGCTCTTTTGATAAATAATGACAGATAACAGTCTATATTGTATATATGACGTCGACAACTCTTTTACGAGGATGTGATAGAGTTGTGATTTAGTTAAGTTTACCAGAATTTGTATTGTGAAAATGTTTATTGGATTAGCCTTTACCTTATATACAGGTTTAATTTTGCTTTGTTTTTGAGAGTTCTATAAGTTATCAACATTTCATATTATATCGCCTTTGCCATATACGTACTTTAATTTTTGCGTTGAATAACTGTTCATCTCACATTATCTACCAGAATAAATGGTTTCAAGTTGATATATCTTGTTTTATTTACTTCTATGGAACGATTGCAGCTTTATATATTTATGAAGAGTTTGAATATTTTTCAGAATCTTAAAAAGTTAATTCTACCTTAGGTAGAAACATTTACTTAACATAATGAGGAAGGAAAAACATATGGCAGTGACCCTAATGACAGTTGACATGACAGCTGACGTGGTGTATATCCAATGCAATAATCAATTTCTGGTTATTATTTGAAATCTGACAAGTTTGGATTTTGCCGGGTATTGGATATTGCTATTGTACTTCAGCTTCATTTTTGAGAAAAATGATACAGGCTGACTTCAGTTTTACCATAAAGTGGAGCACCTTATTAGTTATACTCATTACGGTTGTTGGGGACACTTTAAATGTAGTTCCTATGCTTAACAAAGTATCCTGTGCAGCCATATACCACAAGAATATTAAAATATGGCCATATAAACTCACTAGATGATATCCACCTGTATACGGTTTTGCTAATTTCTTTTTTCATCATTTCTGCTGAATCAATAAATGTTTTCTTTGACATGCGGAAAAGTTTAGAGAATTGAAAGTTATCATACTCGTAGCTACAAAGCCATGGTTCCATCATTAAAAAAAAATTCTGAAAAAACATTTCTCCCATGAATATTATGAAAGGTTTCTTATTTAAACTTTCCATCTACAGTTATAGACGAAAAAGCACCGATTATTAAGTGATAATAAAAATAATCAGAGATTATATTCGCGCTTTTCTAAAATAAACAACTTGCAACAAAACCGCGGTTAAAACCAACGCGTTCTTTCGGTCTGAACATAGTACGGAGCTACAGGCGGTTAGGCTGGTGGAACGTGTAACCAGAGGATTCACCCTTAACGAAAGTACTGGCATCTTGCTTTTGGATGTCTCAAAAGCATTTGACAAGGTGTGGCACGCGGGCCTCTTGTATTAAACTAATCCAAAAGGGCTTCCCTTTTTGGCTTCTAAAACTACTGAAATCCTTCCTTGAAGGTAGGAAATTTCGGATCAAAATTGACAATGTGCTGTCGACAACACGGCTGATTACAGCCGGCGTCCCTCAGGGTTCGGTCCTTGGACCTATCCTTTACTCACTGTACATCCATGACGTCCCTAGTCCCAGCAACTGTGAAGTCTATCTCTATGCTGACGATACTGCATTGGTGGCTCAGTCGTGGTCTGGTGACCTAGTCCATGACAGGCTGCAAAGTGCGGTGGAAGAAGTATTAGATTGGGCGGATCGGTGGCTAATTAAAATAAACCATTCGAAAACGCAGACAATCTACTGTACAAAAAGACGTCGCGGCGTTCCGTCTGAAGTTTCAATGAATGGACTTCGTATACCATGGGAATCCTCCGCTAAGTATCTCGGTGTCATTCTGGACAAAGGGATGACTTGGCGGAACCATATGGAAGCGCTAAAAACTAAATTCCAAATTACGTTTCGGCAGCTTTACCCATTACTATGTAAACGGTCAAAATTAAGTTTGATTAACAAGATTCGACTCTATAAGGTGGTCATAAGACCAGCAATGACATACGCATGTGCGGCTTGGTGTTTTATTGCTAAAACACACATGCGAAGTCTGCAGGTTCTGCAAAGCAGGACGTTGCGCACTATTGCTGATGCCCCATGGTATGTCTCTAACGAAACTCTACATAGAGACCTCGATGTCCCTTACCTAAAGGACTACATTAAGCAACAGGCGCAGCGGCGCTATAGCCTAGCGGAATCGCACAGCAACCCTCTGTTGCGTGATTCAGTGGACTACACAGTCGAGCAAGTTCGCAAGCACAAAAGGCCGCGGCTCGCACTGTAATCAAAATTAACTCGTGAACTTAGAACAACCAAAATTTGAGCATTTTTACACAATCTTTAGAAAAAATCAAATATTTTTAGACCATATCAAAATCTGTGAAGCGATTTTAACAATGCCTAAACGCTGCATATCCTAAAAGATTCTCTTCTTCCCCTTTGCTCTCGTTCTTCCTTCTCTCCTTTCCTTCCCCTTTTTTTTCCTTAAAATTGTCTGGTTTCTGGGTTACCAGACCTGACAGACTTACAAACTGACACTGTGGCTCAAGAGCTAAGGTCCCACGGACCGCTCTGACAACCAACGATGACTTGACCAACGCGTTCAAGCGATTCGTGTAACTGACGTCATCAACCCGTGTGTCATCTTGAACCATAATATAACCGCGGCACATAACACAGAAATTTTGGTTATTCGCTTGGATTTGATTAATATCTCGGCGACGTGTCGCCAGTCAAAATGCATTTGAGCTGTTCTTTTTCCGTGTATTCGATAAGGTTCTCTCCTCAAGACTACAGACCTATTAATTAGCTTCCTGTCTTTAGTGCACAAAATTCTTGAAAAAGTGATATCGGAACGATTACAAGATTTTTGTTGGGAAAAACAGACTTTAGCTGACCTACAATTTAGGTTCCGCAAAGAGCACAGTACAGAGCTTCAGGCAGTAAGGCTGACAGAGATGATTACTATTGGTTTGTCAATAAATAATCAAAACTGTGTGCTGCTGGTTCAATTTATAAGCTAGGTTGGTTAGCGAAACTGCTGAAGACTTGTCTTGATGGCAGGAAATTCCGAATTAAAATGTAAACGTGACTTTGCTCTCTAGTATCCAAGCAGGTGTTCCACAAGGCTCTATTTTGGCTCCGACACTACACATTATATACACTGCGGATATTTCCTCACAAACCTCACACATACTACTGTATGCTAATGACACAGTACCGCTAACTAGGTCTGTCTCCAATCAAGAAATTGTAGATAGACTGTAAGAGGCTGTGAAACAGCTGCAGGATTGGTGTCTCCGTTGGAGAATTAAATTGAACGCTAGGAAAACCCAGGTAGTTTTAGTCACTAAAATAGGACAATCATTACCAGCCGCAATAATTATTTGTAACCAAATAATTCCATGGGCATATCAAACAAAATATCTAGGACTAATAAAAGTCTAACCTGGAAATCTCGTGTAGAATCGATTAAAACAAAGGCTGTGATGGCATTTCGTAATTTATACCCCATGCCCAAGGGTACTATAAAACTGAGCTTAACTAATGAAATAGTATTATACAAATCGATTATACGTCCAACGATGCGACCTACTCATGTGCCGCTTGCTGCTTTGCTGCCAAGACGTACATTACAAAATTGCAAGAGATACAAAACAAAATTCTACGAACAATACTGCATGCTCCCTATGGTATGATTCTAAATGGATTTCGACGGTACCTTGTACTTGATTCACTATGATAATCTTGACATCTGATGATATTGATCTTCTATATACAAATTATCATTGCAGTGTCAAAATTATGATAGCAAATCAAATGTATTTCAACTGTCAAAACTCATTTAGAATCAGGCCCCTGGTATGTATCTAACGCGACCATTCACCATGACCTGGATATTCCTTTCTTGTCTCAATTCATTAAGCAAATTGCAAGCAAAAGCTAGGAACGTGCAACTTTACATTCAAATCCTGCAATATGAGATGTGGTGACATATGATCCAGCATCGGTTCACAAACACAAAAGACCTAGATTAGCAATTCTTTAACAATCTGATCATCTAAAACTACGATTTATTCTTTATTCCTTTACATTTACTGCTTTTTTCATATAAGTTTTATAATCGCATCATCTAT